TTATGCTTATTGAAACATACTGTTTTTCACTAGAGCTGCTGAAGGTGGCTCCATGCCCAGCTTAAAGTACAGTCCTTCCTGAGCCCTCACTAGCCCCAGATTATCTGAGCTTAACTCTGCCAATGAAATGATTGAAGCAGTTTAACACTTTTCTTCTGCCTGAGGGTGAAGCTAACTAGCGCAGTTAAGCTAAGATATTGTGATACTAGGTCATCTCCTGGCTCAAGATCTAGCTCCCTGATTGATGACGGCTGTCTGAGTTATAGCCTGGAGGCAATGCTAAGGCTACCCTCAGGCCTCCAATGTGAACTGCATCAAAAATAGTCTTCTCTGCCTCTGAACATTATTTAAGATAGCCCTCAGTACACCTTGATTAAAGACATAGGCTTCATTTGCCAGTCCAAGGTGAGGGGTACTGTATGTCAAGCTTGTTTCTTATGTGAAACCATTTAAAGCTCCCTTCAGATGAAGCTTGTAAATGGAATTCAGTTTCTGGCAATTTCATAAAGAATGGCCCTTGACAATCTGCTCAGTATTTTAAAATACAATTCATTCCAAAGTTTAAAATGATATTCTTCAGGACTTCATTTTACAATGGCGCCATCATGAATTATCAGCAACTACTTCAGCAGCATTACTGGATATATTTAATGTTTACTGTAGCTTTGCTATCAATGGGGCTGTTGTTGTAGTACAGAAGCAATTTAGGTGATTTATTGATTAGCTTTTTCCATTTTATATAATTGTAAATCATTTTTATTTTTTACATTTAATTGACATTGTGCCTTGAGGTAAGGCTTACCCTAAGCTAACTTGACCTTGAGTGCACTGTTTCTGATACAAAATTTTAGTTCTCTGTTGTTTTTTTTTTGTTGTTTTTTTAACACTCTCTGTTTATGAAACTGAGCCATGCAAGGAACAGTCTCAAGTCAGACACTGCATTAAAGACACACCTTTGGAAAGGCGCCATGGGTTAGACTGAGTGCTGCCAGCCCGACCAGATTCCCTGGGCACTGGGAAAGGTATGGTGGGAACATGTAGCCAAAACTTTTGGCACAGCTTCTCCCTTAAACAGTAGTGTGCCTGCTGACAAGCAATGCCACATAACTGAGAGATGCATTTAATGTTTCCATGAAGACTGTGGCAATTAATCACTGAAGTCCATACAAAAACATAACTGTTATGATTTCCCAAAAGAGAAGATTAGTATTACATGGTAACACACCAGGGAGTCATACACTACAGCATGCCTTACATGCTGTAGTGTATGACTCCAGAGAGGTAAGAAAATATGTCCAATCTCTTTAAATAAACTGTAGCAAAATGCCCCTAAAACTTGGCAGATATTAAGACAATGGCTTCTCCGGCTGGCACTGTGGCTTGGGCGGTACACTAACCCAAAGGATCCTGTTTGCAGTTAAGCATCAAGGTCCTCCTGGCAGATCCATTAGTCTTGCCTGATGAAACAAGGGAAAAAAGACTATTTCTCCCCCCATATATCTCCCCCTCTGTCACTGTGGTCACACAGTACAAGGTTAGCCAATTGAATGTCTTCTCTGAGATGATAGAAAATGAGAACGAGAACAGCTGTAGGATAACAGGTTATGAAGCTACCTGTATCTGTTCTACACAACATTAATGGATGGGACATTTTCTAAAGTAATTCTGAGAATTGTAACTGTTTTTAGTTAGACAGCAGACAGCTGACAGAAAATGATGGGAGAAAGAGGCAGGGTGATTCCAGATGTTTTCACAAGGACGCTCCAATTACATGGTCAGGGCCTTGGACTAATAACCACCAGGATGTCCCAAAGCTACAAAATGTAACATATATTCTGTATACAATATACTTTAAAATGTATATGAACCTATTACTGCTCATGCTCACTGGTAGAGCCTAAAGGCTGAGCTATGATCAAAATTAACCACTTCATACAATGTGCTGTCCAGCCACATCTGAAGTGTTTATAGCTGTGTCAAATAGCCACACTCGAAGGTGGCGCCTGCTGTCAGTAACAGAGGTTGTTGTAGGAAAATTCAAAAACAAACCACCAGACCAACAGCAGCAACACATGAAAAAAACACAGTGTGTCTGTATTATAATTTTCTGACCTCTTGGATCATACTTGTACCATCATCACAGGACCGCCCCACACAGTTTCGCTATGGCCGCTATGGGCCGTGTTTGGTTTGTCTCCTTCTTAAGGCAGATGCTTCAAACCCACCTACTTTCTTACCTCCACAGACCTGGCCAGTAACTGCACAAAGGGTTGTGAAGGTCAGATTGTTGGTTTCAGAGAGTTGCAAAAGTTGTTGTCCACAATTCGAACATTGTAGTACAAACTGTATTGCTTCATGTGTCCAATCTGGTGATCCAAGAGGTGTCTCAGAATTCTTATCAAGCATCTATCTAACACAGGTCTGTGGCTTGACCACTGACCAATCCTCTCAGTCTTCCGGTGCCTCCTCTTTGTCCAACACAGCACATAATTTAACTAGTCACATATGCAGATTAATTTTCTCCAGCTGGGACATTCCTCTCTCCAGACACTCTGTGGTTCCCATGTCAGAGGAGGAACCACAGAAAGAAAACCAGGACAGTGGCCCAGACGAGGCCTCTACTCCTCTCTCCAGGATGATTCGGACCTATCCAACCCCCTACCCTTTGGTGCTAGCAGTGCCCATGAGATACTGCAACAAAGGATAGACACAGAATTCACACGCACAGAGCCATAAACACCCACACAATCACATCCACATGCACACTAGCCCTCCATCACACACAGCTTATGATATAACCAGTTTTCTAGATGACCATGGGCCATATTGACACAGCACAGTGAAACAGCTGGGTCTAGACTTGCGAGGCCAATAGCTCCTCACAGGGGCAAAAAACAACATCTGACTCCAAAGTTGAACCCATAATTATATCATGTCAAGCCTGCAGACATTTAAAAACTGGTTGAAATATTCTGTGCTGGAATGAATAACAGTATGTTAATACATGATTCTGACTGTGTTCAATATGTGGAGTAAAAAAAACTATGTATTTGAAGAAGAAAGCACGAATAAAATATAGATTTCAGCATTTTCTGGAGAGGATTAAAGGATTTCATGGTAATCAGATTAGGACAGCTAAGAAAATAAACTGCCAGGACTGTCAGTGTCTTTGCACTGAAAATGTTAAATAGGTACGCAGAAACCAGGAGGCTGCAGCAAAGTCTTGAAAGCGGGAAGAGGACTGTGGAATATTATAAGAGCTCTCACATGCATTTGTCTTGGAACAGCCTCTGAGTGATGTCATCATCATCATCGTCACCATGGCTGTTGTTCCACTTCTTTGGCGCATTGAATGACGACAGTACACATATCCAGCTCCTGGGCAAGTTCCTCGAAGAACAATCACTGACCGATCAGTGATAAATGTTAGAATGGAGCTTTCAAATGGATCTGGTGTCCAGATGTACAGGAAAGGATTACAGAAGAATATTATTGTTCCAAAGGTACACTAATGAATATTCACTATTCACTGATGTGTGGATCAAACACCAAAAAAATACTGTAAAGGTTCATGAGAAAAATGAATTCCTCCTCAAGAGTTCACAAGAACACTTGAGATTTCAAAACCTCCCAAACAAAACTGAAAAGAGTGCCGGAAACACAAACGGCCAGGACTTCTGGAAGACACTGACTTGCTAGAATACAAACCTGAACCAAAGTGACACACACACACACACACACACACACACACACACACACACAAATCACTTCAGATTTATGGTCATTTTACTTCTTAAAGTAAACTTATAGATTTAGCTCATCTGTCTGAGACGCTCCTGTAACCAAAGTGACACACACACACACACACACACACACACACACACACACACAAATCACTTTCCATGCAACTTCTTTGCTCTGTCATAACTTCATGTAACAATTATCTCATTAATGCTGACAGTGGGCAAATGGGAAAGGCACCAACTCATACATAGAGACGACAAACAATTGGCCCATTTAGGCACTTAATCACTCAAAGATGCACAAGCCAAGATAACTTAAAGAGAAGGAATCCACATGCATAATCACTGTATAGATAAAGAGAACGACAGGGATGCAGTGTGTTTGTGCCAAGCTTTCTGCTGAGTTCTCTTGAGTTGTGCAAGCTGTTGGCTGTCAGTCGTTGTTTGCATGGAAAATGAGATCCAGCTCTGGATTGCTAAACAGAATTTCTACAGAGAGGGTGGGAGGCAAGGTGAAAAATGAAGTTCTGTAGCTCTCGTTGATGCACATACTATCAGGGTTTAGTTCTGGGTTATTGTCCTTGTAGTTCACTGGATACACTTGGTACTCCCTCATCCTGACAGATGTTTACTTTACACCTTTTGTGACCTAGTTCCAAACAGAAAATAACTGATCAAACATCTTGATTCTCACTTTTAGAATGCTAAAAAAACAACGCCTGAATATACTTGACATTCTTGTTGCAAAAGGCAAGAGACTGGCCTTCAGCCATAATACACACACACACACACACACACACACACACACAAACAGAGACTGAGACTGACTGCTGCCAGCCAAAAAGCACCTCCAGGTGTTGCCAAGTAGGAGATTGGGAGAAGAGGGGAAAGACAGAGGGAGAGTGGAGCAGAGACCTGGAGTTGGGGGACTCTAGCAGACATAGGAGACTAAAAAAGGAAGGAGTAAAATCAAGAGAAAGGAAAGAGAAAGGTGCTGAGTGAGCACGACTCTGTGTATGTGAGGAGTATGTTTATGCTACTGATGTGTACTCAGAGAGAGGCAGATACAAACAGGAAGAAACAAACAAAATGTCAAGTTCTGAGAATGTCATTTTCAATAATTCCACACTTTTATGATACTTTTCAACGTATTATATGTTAATAATGTCCTTTCATGGATCTCAGTGTGCAGATGGTTGTTAGATTTCAACAGCCTGGCACACACAGTACAAAAAAAACAAAACAGAATCCACTCACCACTTTCGCTCTTCTCAATCACATCCACAGTCTCACCGGCCTTGAGGCTAATCTCCGAGTTCTCCTGCCTCTCGTAGCTGGCCACGGCCACGTACTGCTCCAGCACCATGGGCTCCAAGCTGTCCATCCCTGAGGGGAAGAAACAGGCTGTCAGCCACCTGCCTGCCTTGGCACCCGGTGAACGCCCGCTGCAACCGACTACACCGCTGCGTGCCCGGTACGTCGCCATTGGCCAACCCCCGCTCCCTGCTGCCACTGTTCCTCCCTGACCAATTAGAAGTTGAATTCACGACGTGGCTGCATAGTTCTAAACGTCTGGCCATATAGATCAGTCGAACCCCAGCCCGCAGAGAAGGACTGAGAAGCATTGGAAGGAATCAAAACAATAGGGGGGAACAAGAGGAAAATGTCTGTAGGGACTGCATCTTGCACCTATAGAGGATCCATAACCTGAACCAAAATTTAAGATCCAAAGGAAAAGGCAGAGGGAAAAAAGCAAAAGGAGAAATAGTAGAGCCTAAGGGTTAGATGGGAAGAGTGTGGAGTGAGTGAGTGGAAGAAGGCTGAAGTTTCTCTGTGGAAAATCAACAGTGCGGTTAAGAGGAAAGGAGGAAAGGCCTCCCCTCCACTGCCGCTGGGAGCC